CCCACTCATCCATCCATCCATCCATCCATCCATCCATCCATCCATCCATCCATCCATCTATCCATCCATCCTTCCTTCCATTCTTTTTTTTTTTTGCAATTACTTCCCAAAGTGGGAAGGGAAGGAAGAGCAACAAGCACGGATAAACAACCTTTAAATTATTGTCTGATCTGGGATAAATATGAAGGAACGCGAGCAGACGTTACAGAATAAACCTCGAGGGGGAACGTTCCGTACCGAACAATCGTAACACGATAACGCTTTTCTATCGGTTAGTTTCAATCGAAAAACGATCCGAAAAAACAAATTGAAGAATCAGCGTCGTTCGTAAGGTTGATACTCCACTCGTCGAACAGATGGCGTTGCAAGGCTGTCGCCATGCATGCTCCGAAAGCAAGTAACGAAGGATCGTTTCGTAAAAGGACGACATGTAACCTAGCGTGGCGTTACGATTCGTTTACAGTAGACTATTCGGCGTTCAAGAAACAACTATTCGAGACACGTGGAACGCGTTCGCGTCTATAATATAGAGGAAATAATCAACGACGACTTACCGATCAGATGAATCCACGACTAGTCGCGGGATGGGATCCAGGTTATAGAGTGCACGTGCAACGTACAATGTGTACCGCGTAGGTACAGTTAGCGTACCACGAGTGATTCTTCGCTCTTACGCAACCACTGTGCTCCGTCTAATAGAACGATTCTTTCCGGAAGCAGCGAGTAAAACTCGCTGGAAGAAAAATCGAAAAACGGTAATAGTTATTCGATTACGACGATATTTCGTCATTCGAGTAAAGTATAAGCAAACGTGGACACTCCGGCAAATGCGACAAGATTTCACAACACTAGTACGCGGTCTGGTTGCGTTACATCAGTATCGATAAACACGTATACCAGCGTCCGATTAAAGCATAACGTCGTGTAAGCAAGTTTCGGTTCGATGCGCAACATACACAACTTATTCGACTCGTGGCGTAACTCGTGACAGCGTGGCAAAACGACGCGCGCTCCTCGCGGCGGCCGGCGCGGGAATGATTCAAGGAGGTTCGTTTTCTGGCACGCATCGTTAGTGGGGATGGATCTCGCGACAGGGGAGTAGAGTAGCGCGCGCCCTCTGTTCTACCTATGTGTATACACTGTGCATATACTATTGTATTTACGTGTATTGTAAAAGGATACAATTCAACGACACGATTCACATTAGAACAGGACCGACGCGACGCGACGCGACTCAAAGAAATCATCTAAACCAACGATCGAGCCGATGAACGAAACGATTACGTTGCAACGTGTGCTTCAGAAAAACCAATTGTTCATTTCCTTCTTTAATGATCTTATTCGTTGTGTACACGCACAAATAACAAGCAAGTTATCCCGTGGATGGGGCATCGTAGGATTGATGAATCGGCGGATTCGGTGAGTCGCGCGCGACCAACAGCGATTTCAACGATTTATTCGTAAAAGTAAAGGAGTTGTTCTTCTGATCGATACTCGCGGGACAGTGGTTTGAAATGACGCGTTTAACCAAATCGACTAGCGATAACGTGAAAATCGCTTCCAATATACGTTACTCGCGCGATGTGCGACTTTATTTCGATTCAATCATGTTGAATCACGCAAATAACATTCATCTTTTGTGGCCCAGATAACGAGCTGTGAACGCTACACCGGAGAAGAAAGGGGTCGGTTCGAAGGACGCAGAGGGGCCGCGGAGTAAGGGTGGGGTTTCGCGGGTGGCAACCGGAACGGCGATGACGGTGGATGCCGGAGGACGGCGAAGGGGAGGGGAAGTGTAGACGATTGAAAGAGGCCGGTGGCGCAACACGAACAGAGGAAAGAGGACTCACGACGTATGACGCGCGCGCGGTCAAACGATGACGAAAGGGACCGTGTGCGACAGCCGACAACGACAACCTTGTTCCTTCAACGAGAAAATCGACGTGAAAATGAGGGAGAAAGTGAAAAAAAACCTGTCGATTTCGATTTCGCAGAGCGGCTTGTAAATGCAATCGTTTTTCTTACTTCATTCGGGATACCGGGACACCGAATGTCGTTTGAATTAATCGAGGTCGGGGAAGGAGTTTGACTAGGAGGAAAACGCAGGCTGCGGTAACAACAGTCCAAACAGTTTTTCGATTCGAAGCAGGCAACTATATACACCTATCCCCCGATTTACACGGCTTTCAAAATAATGGATTTTCAAAAATAAACTGTTAAAAACAAAAATTTATGCTGCGCACATATTTGTAGTCATTTTTTAGTACCGTTCGCTTATTTTGCCTATTATTGCCTATTAAACCTAAAAAAGAGAATTTCTTCGTTTTGTACATAAAAAGCATTCATATTATAACATAATGTTTGTTGCTAACGCGGATCTTTCTGATACTTTTTCTTTTTCATTTGTATTTTACTTTTATTTTACATTGCAATAAATGAATTTAATAAAATAACTGACTAAATTATTGGCAGTTTTTTTTCGATTTACACGGTTTTTTATACAAAACGCCATGGTTTCGATTTACACGGTACATATTCTGAAAAAACCGATCTTCCCCCGTTGTAAATCGGGGGATAGGTGTACTTACAATTAGAATCGGTGCTAGACGTCGCCTTATCTACCGATACTCGAGTACTCGAATATTCTAAGAAAGTAGGACACGGCAGAGTGATGTTAACGGAGAGCCATGGCTCGAGGAAGCGGTCGGTTACGTCGGAGTTTATAAAGAGTCATTACGGTCCCGTGAAAGGTGGCTTTAATTTCAGTGGCATTCCAATCGCGTTAACATATATCGAATACAGTATACATTCTCGTCTCGCGCGCCTGCAACCATCTATACTTGTAACGTTTACTTGAACGCGGTTCCCCAAGTTTCATCCATGATTTAATCGTGAAACAGCATTTTTGCATCTTTGTTCCGGAGAACGACAGCAGGAGGGGAGTTCGCGACAGGAAAAATTTCAGAAAGAAAAAGCTTTGCTGCCGGCCGGCCGACCGACCACCGAATCGATATTCCTTCGCGGGACGGTTTAAC